CCTGTGCCCGTGACGTCCGTCCGGCCTACCCACCCCTGTCCCCGTGACGTCCGTCCGGCCTACCCACCCCTGTCCCCGTGACGTCCGTCCGGCCTACCCACCCCTGTCCCCGTGACGTCCGTCCAGCCTACTCACCCCTGTCCCCATGAAGTCCGCCCTGTCCCTGTGACATCTCTCCTTCCTTCCCTGCTGCTGTACCAATGTTCATCCTGCCATCAGAAGCAGCACCTGCATACACTTACCTGCCTACCCCTCTCAAATCTTAAGATTTGGACAGTGTAAATTAGGATTTTGCCATCTTGCTCATCTGACTTCCTCTGCCAGCCCCTGGAGGATGGGCCCCCCCCTTTGAGTCTGGTTCCTCCCAATGTTTCTTCCTTCTAGGGAGTTTTTCTTGTCACTGTCATCTCTGGCTTGCTCACTGGGGGCTTTGTGCAGGGATTATGTAAAGTGCTTTGGGACAATGTAATGTTGTGAAAATGTGCTATTCGACTGAACTGAACAGCGACAAATCACATAAATGCCGTTATTCCCCAGCTAGGTTTTTTTCAAGTCTGCTAAACATCTTTGAAAAGGTGTTTATATATATATATATATATATATATATAATCTTTGGTCCAACTTAATGCTACTTTTCCCCTGGCAGATGAATGATCAAGCTGTGTTTGCATCACCAAATACACCATCCACACTGCTTCATTTTCCTAGTATTCCACGGTCTCTCACACAACGCCCAAATGCAGTCTCCATGCCAGGCCTCTGTGATGATGGTGATGTCACACGAGTCGTACGCACACTGGCATGTCATGCCAAGATTCCAGGGGACGTAGATCTTAAAAGCCATACTTACTTCTCTTCTCCTTTTTCTTGAACTTGTTCTTCTTCTTGCTGTGCTCCTTGTCGTCATCAGAAGCTGCGTCGGGGGGCTCGTGGTGGTGCCCGTCATGAGGAGGTGAGGGCTCCCCTGTGCGGTACAGGCCCGGGAACTTGGTAGGGCTGATCTCCTCAGAGCTGGGTGTGCGGGCCACCCCCCCCGGGGCCTCGGGCCGCCGCTGCTCACCAGGGCTACTGCTGGGAGGCAGGAAGCACTCCGTCATGGCGGCAGCGCCCTTGCTGTCCTCTGGCTATGCTTAGATGCAGGGGCACATCACTGCTCCATGGCAACGGCAGGGGCCAGGAACACACTGGAACACACACCGATGCACCGTTAGTGGTCAGCAGTCACTCATGCAGCCGTGCGCAAGGGGACAGTGTAACACCCAGAAAGGAGATTAAGCTGGAAAAACCCTGGGACAAAATATCAGCTGATATTTTCATACATTATCAGAGAGACTGGAGATTTCATATTCAGACTGAACAAGAAAAAAGAAACAGAACAACATAAGAAACACATATCATTGTGTTTAAAATAATAATAATTAAGTGACCTTAAGTTTCTAGCTGAATTATATATCTAATGAAGTATCTGTAAGGCACTATGCAGACTGGACAATAATGATGGTAAACATGCAGCTTTCAGTGCTAGCTGCTGTCTTTATGAAACAGGTTAATAAAGAGCAGTCATTTCGGTTTCAGACAAACAATGGGCAAACAACAGTGATGTTAAGTAAAAACAGAGGAGCTGCCTTTAAGCGAAGATGTTTGCATTGTGACACACTTGCACCTCTCCTTAAATGACACATGTTACCTCACCTGCAGCCTGGGTCCAAGTCTTAAACACCCCAAGGATGCGGAGCAGGTTTAGAGCTCAGAGCTCCAGGCTGGAAATGGCTGAGGACACGTTACTCATTCCCACACGCTTTGCAACCTGTTTTCTCAGCTGCAAATACACCCAAAAACTCCTAACGAGCTGCCCTGTAGTAAAATAAATGCTTCTGAAGAGAAAACACCGCAGGGCCGTCTATTTTTGGAAGCCTTTTTTAAATTAAGTTAAGTTTTCTCTGCAGAATGACAGCAGGTGGCGCTCATCCGTGTTTATGCTTCTTTTTCCTACTTTTTTTTGGTCCCCCTACCCTTAGAATTTCATGCTTCGATGAACCAGATCATATCGGAGTAGAATGTAGCCCATATTAATATGGGGTCCAGGGTGACATTCCAAAAGAAACACCTGTCATTCAGACTGGTGTGCAAGTGCAGGGCAACAAAATACGCAATTTAACTGTATGTTTACTAATCGTAAATTATTATCCATTAGATCAAAACGGTTCCAGCTGGAAGACTCAGTGAAGAAGGGTAATGACAAGCCCCCTATATGACTGCTGTATTTGTTAAATAAGAAAAAGTGCCCTAAGACGCGTAATGATTCAATTTTATGCTTTAAACATTGAAAAGCTGATCAATTAAACCGCGACATAAAACTACCTCCATATTACATATTTCACCATTTGGTGTACTCCAATTATTTTTCTCTGAAAAAAATCATATTGCTGTGTGTGCATGACAAACATACCTTCCCGAGGGATGCCGGAATGACAAGCCGCTTAGGGCGTGGGGGGTGTCGGTCGAAGGCAGCTGGCCTCTGCGGCGATCAGCCGGCCAGTTAGCGGTGTCCCGGTATCGGTTTGACCAGTCCACCTGCTGGTATATGACTGGTTACCGTTGTATGAGCGGAGACAGCGACAGCGGAAAGAAGTTCATGCCGATCAGAAGCTGCGGACGCCAGCGGCTGTGCTTTTATAGCCAGGCCCATCTTTCTGTTCAAGCTGTCCAGAAGGTCCGCTCTAACCACCTCTACATCTCAGCTGTATGGCCAAAGCGAGAGCATAAAACCGGTTCACGTATCATCGCGATCGTGCGTTTTTAAGCAAGAATAACTATACATTTTATAAAACGATTTTCAAACTAACCTGTTTTGATGAATTTCGGTAGGAAGCTTCCTGTTGTCTCTTTCGGTACCGAGAAATCCCGACAGAGCATGCGTGGCGCCCCCCCCTCCCCGTTGGTGTTTTGGGATTTGTAGTTTTCTCTCGTAACGACTGTGGAGAGAACATGGGGAAACACGTCTAGAAAAGACTACAAAGTCCATCATCACTGAAGGGGCGCTGGCCGTTCATATATTGTTAAAAGATATATATATAATTTTAACCTTTTATTTTACAAGTCAACTGATTTCATTTAAAAAAAGTTATTTTAATATAGCTACAAAGTTCAACAAATCCACCCTTGTAACTTACGTTTTTTTTTTAATGAAACAACATCCTAGAGTGACTGTGTCAGTGAATAATGAATTACAAAAATTCAGTGAACAACTCACACACACTAAGGACCTACATGTGAATTTGCATATACTTTTTTGTGATTCACATTTCTTTGGTAGAACATGGTATTTCATTGTAGAAATTGACACATTTTACATGTTAATTGTTTGAGACACTAAAGACAATTTTTTTCACAGTTATGTTGGGTGGTTAGGGTGAGAAGAAATACCAGCTTTGGCTATCGTTAAATAATCTTGAAAATGCAATCTGGTTTTTAACACAGCATCTATTTCCATCTGCAGCGAAAATGCTTCCGTAGGTGATTCAGTGCCGTACACATTTGGGTTAAGGCTGATTGGACGACATCTCGGTGCCAAGATGGAGTGGTCACATGACTGCACAGAAAGGTCCCTTTGTGAGGCTTTGCAGCCGTACGATGAAAGAAAAGCAGCATTTTTGTTCTTATGCAGTTGGGCACGGTCACCACGACTGAATGGAGCCAGCTGAGTGTGTGTCCCAGGCCATGTGCACAGTCCCTGCAAAGGCTATAGATTTACACCCCCCCCCCCCCATTCTTGCAGATAAGTGGGACACTCGGCCTTTGCTGAAACACCTGTGGCAGAGTCCAGACACGGAGTACTTTGTTTCCCCCGGAATTGGTCAGTGTTTAGGCCTTTTTTAAAATTCTGTTGCTATGTCTGTCCTGATAACATGCTGGCACAAAGACTGAAGAAACATTGCATTTTACAATCATTTTATGCTGTGCTGTTAAATATCAACATTTCCACACAAATGCAAATACAGTGACTACCCACAGTATGTCTTTTTATAAAAAAAAAAGGTACAATTTTTCACAAATATTTAAATGACATGACTAAAATGATCCACAGAGCCTCATCTGCTGTTCCTTGTTCTAGTGGTGTTCAGTCTTAAATCCCACATCATCCAATGAACTTCAGATTTACTGTAGTGTGATTTCTGAAGCATGAACACACTGCAGAGGTTTTTCCCACCAATCAAAACAAGAGGGCGTTCCGGCGGCTTCCCCTCGATCCCAGGATGGCGCTTGCCCCTACAGGCCATGCAACAGCGCATTACACAAATGCCCAATTCCTTACACATTCTGCTTAGGGGCTATTGGCAGCAAGCAGAGTGACCATGATGGCGAAGCTGGATTCCTTCAAAGCATTTTTTCAAACAACGAGCCTTTTATGCGTTTCCCAGCACTGGGGGAGCGTCATGAGTCTGTGCAGGGCTTCCCGAAGGCGGGCTGAATAAAATGACAGCATGCGGATAAACGTGCACAGCAGAGCCAGCAGTGCAGCATGGAAGCACAGGCCCCCCAGTTACAGCGCAGCGTGCAGCGTGAGCTCAGCAGCCAGATGGGCTGCTGACGCAGGCGCTCAGGCAGCTGGCTGACCCGCGCTTCACTCCCTCCCTCCCTCGCAGGATCCACCTCTTTGCTGGTCATCACTGTATAAACTAAACCAAATGTTCTTGACATTTAATAGGCATCGTCAGAGCCATGACAGCCAGAGGAAGAAACGCAGTTGGAGCCGTCTAATAACAGCCGGACACTGCTTTTCACTCCAGATTCAAACAAACTCATCTCCAAATGAGCTATGGGATAGGATCACTGTTGCTGGGTCAGGTCACGGCTGTCCTGCACGTGTCATAATTAAAGCCATTAAAACCACATGAAGGCACGCTGAAAGATAAGAAAGAGCTTATGAGGCACCATCAGTCATATGCAAAACAGTTATAGTTAGGAATACCTTTCCATGACATACAATGATAACAGAATCCCTAAAACCACCAAGATCATGTGTGAGTGGATAGTGTAGGAGATGATAAGCAAGATACTGCAGATAAAAACACTTCTCTGGCAGAAACCTATTTTAAAAAAAATCTAAAATTTACAGAAAATGGAAAAAATACAAAAAAGATTTTGCAAGGGCAAATATTTTACATAGTAATATTGAGGCACCTAAAGCTTGTAGTTCTACCTCAGGATATCCCCCCCCCCCCCCCCCCAGGAGTCAGGCCCCGCCCTCAGAAGAGGCAGTTCATGCACTTGACGGCCTTGCTGCCATAGTCCAGGCACTCGGGTCCAATGCACTCGCAGCAGGCGTTATGAAACCAGCGATACTTGGAGCCACCCATTGATTCGCAGTATAGTTTGCACTGGCGGATGGACAAGCAGTCGTCGAAGTACACCACCGTGCACAGGTTATCTGTGGTGAAAATTACACGGAAAAAAATGAAATTATTATTTGCACGAGTATGAGCACAGGCACACTGGAGTGCTTCTTTTCCCATACATCATCCTGCTTCCTGAGGAGGTACACAAATCAGCTGACCTGCATCTGAAGAAAACCTTTTAGAAAGAATTCTGTTTAATCAAGACAAAATGTCAGACTGTAGCGTGCTTGATGGCACCATATGCTCTGGCAGGTCTGCTAAATGCATAACCCCCCTGCTTTGTCTCTCTCTGCAGACACAAAAGGCTGGAGAGATCCAAATGGAGCAGGGCAGCATGCTACGCCGGACCTGATCTGAGAGCCGATGCAGAGTGCCTGCTTAGTGACGTGCCTTTCTGCATGGTCTACTTTCAGAAGACTGCAAGCACCCAACAGCCAAAGGGCTTTATGGCATTAACCGTCCATTTAACATCTTCCCAGCAAACCCCTGAAGCAGACACTTGACGATTTGCTGCCCTCAAGTCAGTGACTGCTGCGGAACTTTTGGTCAAACTGTACACTGAAAGTCTACAATTTTCCATCGTGATTAAGTTTTTATTATTATTATTATTATTATTATTATTATTATTATTATTATTCTTTTTTACTGGGCGTGTGTCCTCTCTTTACAGTGGTGTTTGCCAATATATTTTAAGAAGACAAAAGGTTTCTTGTCTGTCTTTCAGAATTACAGCTCCCACCTGCTGGTTCAAGCTGGACTCCTGGCTGGGATGGCCTCGTACCTCGAGTGCTGTCATAGCTAGCGTGAATGCTGTTGCCAGGCAACGAGATGTTTTGGTGCGCGTCGTCGAGCGTTTCGAGGAAGGAGACCAGGTTCTCGTGGTGGGAGAGCTCCTCGGCCACTGGGAAGGAGACCACCATCATATTGATGGGCGTGTCGCCCTCGGTGAGGGCACGGAAGAGCGACGGGATGGGTCTGTGCAGCTCCTCCACGGTGCTCTTGGAGGTGGGCGGAGTGTCGCTGTAGTTCTTTGGGTTGCACATGCCTGTGAAGACAAGGCCAAAGAGGACAAGCTACCGAGGACAGTCCTTGAACAGACACTCGAAGTGCGTCCAGCATGAGCACTTTATACCATTGTGTAAGGGTTAGGCACATTGTGTGTTGATGTTATGGTTCTTTGAAAAGCATATAACAGAAGCCACCTGTGTGTTTCCCACTTCCACTTGTCCGCTCTAAGCGGGCATGAAAGCATCCGTAGCTAATCCACAGTATCTTAGCAGCCCATGTCTGCCACTGGCAATCCTGGATACTCCGATTCTCTCACAGGTTTCCATTCTGCACATGACTTCCTTAATTATTGCCCTTACTGACCTAACTTAACCTTCTGTTTCCACATGCTTCAAAGAACACCACAATAAAATAAGTGCCTCCACAGCAGCTAGGAGCAGAGTTATCCTGGTCTCAGAGGAATACAGAGCAGGAACTGCCAAGTGATGGAAATCTGAGGCCTAACTCAGCGCGGAGATCGGGCGTCAGCGCGGAGATCGGGCGTCAGCGCGGAGATCGGGCATCAGCGCGGAGATCGGGCATCAGCGCGGAGATCGGGCATCAGCGCGGAGATCGGGCGGCCGGGCCTTAGTGCGGCCATCAGGCGGCCATCGGGTATCAGTGCAGCCATCGGGCAGCCGGGCATCAGCGTGGAGATCAGGCTTTAGCGCAGAGATCGGGCGGCCGGGCCTTAGTGTGGCCATCAGGCGGCGGTGCCACCTCAGGTGACAATCCAAAGACCAGCAACAGCTCTTAACTGTCAATATCCAAATCCACTGCTATGCAATAGAGCAGGAATAAACCAAGAAACATCTGAAGCCATTTCAGAGAAACCATTCTGACTCGCGGTAATGGGAAAGATAAACAAAGCCATCTGGACAAATTCTTCACCCACAGGGCATGCAGATGGAGGTGCAGCAAAGGCAGCAGTTTCAGACCAAAAGACACATGCAGACTCTCCACCATCCTGCCGCACATCAGCAAGATGCTCACATGACCAGGCACTGCCAGACTCCACCACGCTACCATCACGTTCTTCCAGGGGACCCAAGCGAATTACAGGACAGGCCACGGGAACAGATTTGTTTTACTTAACAGTTCCAGAGGAGCTTCACTGCACCAGAGTCTCAGCTTTGGTGTGACAATCCAAAGTCATAATTAGTTCCTGCAGCAGGCTGGATCCAAAGCAGCAAAACAACGACCCCTGCTAACCAGTGGCCTTCTGACAGCTGGGCTGGCTGAGCAACGCACCTCATGTTCTTCCTTCTTCCAGCACTCAGCATTTGCACCCAGACCACACTCCCGTCATTTTCAGCAACAGCACTAAATCCGCTTAAAAAAATCCCACCTTCTTGGAATGGGGCTTTAGTCACCAACCCACAACTGAACAGGAGCGGTCCGGCCCACGGAGCGGTCCGGCCCACGGAGCGGTCCGTAGGTCAGCCAAATACAGAGTGAGAGCCTCGGTGTTATAAATAATGAGCAGCTGAAATGTGCCCTTATGCCCCTCACAGCCTGTCAGACGGGTTCCTGTCAGAGCAGACTCTACAAACTCGATGGCCGTAATCCTACACCATTACTCCCGTTATGAGATAAGTGGCACTCTCAAAATGGTTATGTTGCAGGTCTCTCATACTTGGGGGGGGGGGGGGGTCACAGCACAGGGTCAGCCAGTATTCAGCACCCCTGGAGCCAGGGGGGGGGGGGGGGGCACCTTTTGCAAAGGGACTCCATAACAGGTATTTGAGGACATTGCGAGTCTTTGAGCATTTAGAAGTCAAGCATCACTGCTAGGACTAGTTCTTAGGACATGGAGGCAGGTGCCACAGCTAATCCTGCCCCATCAGTCATTCCTTTCTCTTCCCTGAAGGTCTGCAGGCTTCCTGCTCTGCGCATTCATACTCAGGCCTCCAGGCGGGGCCCCTCCCCCACCCCCCAGGTAGGACCCCACTGGCCTGCTTCCCCTTCCCACGCACAGTGCAGCCCCTTCTCAGCACGATCCCATCTGCCTCCCCCCCCCCCCCCTTTGCGAAACACTTATATGCTCCCCAACTCCCGGAATTCCGAGAATTCCTCTTGTAGAGTTCCTCCAGCTCCACCGTCTGCAGACACGCTGGCACAGACGAGGGAGGAGAGGCTGGGAAAATGTTCCCCGTGTGTGCCTGATGCTGCCGACCTCATCTGTTTGATTTCGGGGAAGTCTGTCCTAACGAGAACCACACTGCAAGTCAAATTATACCCGTGTTCACTGTGGAGCAATTTAGCCTCCATGCAGTTCAAGTTACGAGCTTCAGAAGTGGCTCTATGTATTCGAAACATTTCAAGTGAAAGTGCGGCATCAACATCCCCAACATGGCGTTCACAGACATACATCGTTATGGACAACACAATCTGATCAGATCAAATACGACCTCCATTACATTTGCCTAGTCAAAAGAGACCACAATCTGTATTTCATCCCTTTCATTACACATTACTTTTCTGTACAGGGTCTACATGTACTTCACAGGAATTTAAAGATTAAATGTTTTGGGATTTTTAAAAATGGGTTTTTTAGTTTAAGGTCCCAATAAAAATGTAAAAACATTTCAAATTCAAAATGGTTGAAATTCTCAGACAGTCTCTCAGCTACAATCCGCAAAGATGCAGCAGCACTTTGCTGGTTTTCGCCGTACTGCTACGTGGCTTCATGGGACTGCAGGCACACTGGGCGTGTCCAACTTCCCAGCACTGCGGTGTCCTTACCACTTACCAATATAAAATAAAGGGCAGAGCTGAATGCGAGTGATACGAGAGGGGTCTGGAAGTTAACAAGCAGACCACAGACCACATAAGAAGGCACGTGAGGTGGGGGCCAACCGCATGGGTGGGGGCGTCTCACGCACGCCGCACAGAGCAAGCGGCCTGACATGGTTACCTCTGGGGGGTAAAAAGGGAATGGATAAGCAGTATTTTTAAGCAAAAATTTGGCACAAAACCTAATTTCAGCGCTAAAACAACCTGTTAAGGATTTTTGCCAATTGCTGTCGAGTGGCCAGAGGGGATGAGCTAATTATAGACAGGAGATAATTGTGATAAAGGTCGTGCGGGAGATGACGCCTGTGAGCTCCGTGCTGAAAGAAGCCAAGAAGTAGGGTGGCACGAAATCGCACTGCCATCATACTGCATGTCTGCAATAATCACCAGGACTTCAGATAACACTGGTCCAGATGCAGGCTTTTTGTTCCATGCGGACGTGTATTTACACGCACGGCTTGGTAAACAGATAGTAGTGCGGCTACAATATTAACAATACGTGTGCCTGAAAGTTATGGCCCTGTATATATTCAGCTTATCCTTGTGTTTAATAAACGTATCAGACTTTAAACTGCAGAAAGTAGCGCCACATCACCGACGTCTTTTTACCTCGTTTATCCAAAATATCTCCTCTTTTAACAGAGTATGTGGCATGCTCCACTAACCGAATTTAATAAACACAAGGATACACCAAATTTATAGACATTATTTACTGGGGTTACAATACGCCTCTCATTAATGTTTTAGGCGTAACCCTTACCAAATTGTGGGCATTAGTAAACATCCATATAGCACCAAAATGCTGGCATCCGGAGAAATGTTTACGCCCGTCACCTGAAGTCCTGGTGATTATTGCACATGTGCTATATAATCATGACGCGATATTGTGCAGCTATACTAACAAGTAATAGTGTATGACAGGATGATGATGATGAAGGTCACTCACCCACGCAGTCGCAGCACTCCTCCCATAGGCTGCCCAGACACAGCATGCACTCCTTGCAGCAGGAACAGTTCCCATCCAGCGGCCGGCACTGGCACAGCTCCTGGAGGAGGTGCAGGGGCATGGGAGTCAGATGAGGAGGTGTGGCCCAGGGGGTGTGCCCATTCCAGCCCTTTTCTGCTCACACATGCAGGCTGAATGAGTCAACACAAGCAGACACTCGCACTGCAAGCATACCAGGTCGTGCCAAGATGCATCTAGACAGAAAAACACCTGTCATGACTCATACACAGGCTTGCAAAACAGGAAATGTGTCACCCACATCTTGTGCGTGTTCAAAAAGTCCAGATAAAGGATATTTGTGCGTGGCTCACATGCACTGGTAGGAGAAGGAGCACACAGTGGGAAACGAGTAAGGCTCAGCATAGAGAGATAATTACAGGGACAGCAGCAAAGTGCTGAGGGGACTGAGGCGAGTGCGTCTGCTTCAGTGATACCGCACTCAGGGTGAGTGTCTGTCTGTCCGTCTTCTATTTTGTTTGGTTATCTATGGTTAAGGTTAAGGCTGGGTAGTGGTTAAGGTTGTCACTGTTGGGATTAGGGATTGTTCCCCATAGAAATGAATGGAGAGTCCCCAGAAATTTATGAATACAGACATGTGTGTGTTTGTGTGTATGTGAGAAAGAGAGGGGGGGGGTCAACTTCCAGATGTTGGGGGGGGGGGGTGCAACGCAGCTGTACAGGACAGGAAACTGAGCCTTCGGACTGTTTGCAGCAGTCCCAGGACACTAGTGTGGGCGGCGGCGGTCATGACACTCAGCCTGACCCTGGAACAGCTGCATGAGTCACCGGGACCTAAGGCAGAACCGCGCAGGACCCTTGCACACCGGCCGGAGACCTGAGGCAGAACCGCGCAGGGCCCGCACACACCAGCCGGAGACCTGAGGCAGAACCATGCAGGGCCAGCGCACACTGGGCAGGGACCTGAGGCAGAACCACGCAGGACCCACACAAACATATGGGGCTGCTCTAGACCCCATCTGCTGCATGTTATTCGTTTGAATGAATACAATGTGGAATGACAGAAAATAAAAGGACGGAGGAAGACTGTTAGGAATCACAGTAAGAGCAGGAGGCAACAAGGCTATACACAGCCAGCAGGGGGCAGTGAGCCACACACCTCGCCAGTATCATGTAAGAGATCATCCCCATCTTTCTGGCAAACCTGCTGACACTTAGAGCCATGGAAATCCATTAAGTCAGGATGGCGGGGGGTGGGGGGCTCAGCACCAAGCGAGGTTGACCCTGTCAGCCACACAGAGAGAGGAGTCTGGCGCATGCACACATACGCGCAACCATAAACATCTCTGCTGAGATAGAGAGTTATTCTGAGCTGTTTACACTCAGGATGAAGACATTTTAGAAAAACATTACGAAGCTGGAGGCCTGGAGGACTGTTCTGCCTGTAAGAAGCTGGCTGGAGGCCTGGAGGACTGTTCTGCCTGTAAGAAGCTGGCTGGAGGCCTGGAGGACTGTTCTGCCTGTAAGAAGCTGGCTGGAGGCCTGGAGGACTGTTCTGCCTGTAAGAAGCTGGCTGGAGGCAGGACTGTTCTGCCTGTAAGAAGCTGGAGGCCTGGAGGACTTTCTACCTCTCTGGTAAATTCCTGTCATTTCACGTTGATAGAAGAACCAAGTAGGGAACAAACGTCTGTGTCACCTGTCCTAAAACCACACAAGACAACTTGTTTCCACAGTATACAACATACATCAAAATCATATTCATTGGGATGATGAGAACCAGCAGGAAAATCCCCACCCTTTTATCCAAGACGACGTGCCCGTGTCAGTGAGGTCAGCCTGTGACTGAAGAGAGCAGCATTGTGGAGATTCCCAGCACCAGAATTAGAACTCAGCAGAACAGAGGAGAATGTGAGGATGTGATCTGCTTGTATGACCAAAAAGCTGCACCACATGTGCAGCTTTGGGTTCCAAGGGGGGGTGAGGAACTGGTCGTAGGATAAACTGAGAACGCACTCCTTCTGATAACGAGGCGATTCCTCCAGAAAGTTACTATAAGAGTCAGGAAAGTAATTCAATTGAAACATACATGCAGCCAGCAGAGGGGTACAAAGACAGCCCTTGGGTTCAGACCTGATTCGGAGCCTGCGAAGGGGCACAAACAGGCCGCTTCTAATGCAAGAAGCTGCCGCTGTCACCGAGCTGCATGGCACAGCCTGCTGCGACGGAGAACCACGAGTGCTGGCATCATATGCAGAGGAAAATATGATCATGCAGCACGGGGCCCACAGAGTTAGAAAGGCTCACATTTTCCTTGCCCACACGCAGCTTCAAAACACTCCTTAAGACTGCAAAAATGCTCTTTCGTAAGACAAAAAACAAAATCCCCTTCAGAGCGACCATCTTGGGAGGTGTCCTCCAGTGGTAGGGCACCTCTGCCCCATATGCCAGACCTCAAAAGACAGAAGACAAAGAAAAACACAGATGTACATGTGCAAGCATTCCATGACCAGAGGGGAATAAAAAAATCCACATGAAGCATGACACGCAGGAGGCAGTACTGGCCCTCGCTGTCCTGACAACTTGCTGCGCAGCCAATACAAAGAATTTGTCTGCATTCCACATAAATCTAAACCCCCACCAGCACCAACACCACCACACTGCTGCCCCAGGGACATTTTTCACCCGAAGGACAAAGCTGCAAATCTTGGCCTGCAGCCAACTGAGTACAAACCTAAAACCAACACAGACTCGACTCTTCAAAAACAGACACCGGATTGGTCCCAGCTGGCGAGGCCTTTGAAGTACCCGCACCTCCACCCTGCCATGCTGCCTTTCTGCACGGGGCGACCATGTGACGATCACATGACACTGCAGGTCTGTGAAGGCCAATACATTGCACATGAAGGAATTCACCCACCTGGATCACAATCTGCACACGGTCAGACCCCTCAAAGGACCTGCATGTTTACATATAAAACATGCCGATTGCATTGGCATGTAAGTGCACTGTGAATTCACATTTCCAGTGCTTACTCCTTTTGCGGACTGTGCAGCCTCAGGACGCTGGTGCCACTCACAGGTAGCAGAAAGCCGATAGCAGAGCCCCACCATACTGGGCACTGCCGCAAGCTCTGTCACACTGCACAGGCATGATGTGTCGGTCTGGGGTGCTGCAGTGTGACTTTGAACTGCATCTCCAAGCCCACAGATACATGATCACATCCCACAGATCACTGCTTCAACAAATACGTGAAGGCCACTGTTACTGGCACAAACAGCAACACAGTCCATGTAATGAAAATGGAAGATTCTCCTCCCTGCTTTCCTACTTGGTATATTAGGTCAGGTCAGGTTGGGAAGCAGCACGTTGCCGCTCCCACCACACAGCGAAACTCCTCGGGATCCCGGCTGGCAGCTCCCCAGGCAGACACACAGTCCAGTCCCACCCTCCGGAAATGGCCGTCCATCTGTCGCAGCCAGGTGTTATGTGGGCATCCCATTGACCTGGTCCAGCCGCTTGGGTCCTCAGTAATGAGGAACCTGCGAGCCGGATCACCCTCAGAGAAAAGTGCCACATGGCCATAGTGCCGTAACTGACGCTCCTTTACAATGCAGGTAATGTGTCTCATTCGGGACTCCTCTAACAACTGCTCGTTCAACACAAAGTCAAACCAGCGGTACCCAAGGATTCTCTGAAGAGACACAGTACCAAAGGAGTCCAGTCTTCGTCTCAGGTCACTGGATAGCGTTCATGTCTCACAGCCATATAGCAAGACAGGGAGCACCAGGACTCTAAAGACTTGGACTTTCCTCCTCTTGCAAAGATATCAGGAGCGCCACACACCCCTTTCCGGTGACCTCATGACCCCCCCATGCTCTCCCAATCCATCTGCTGACTTCATAGGAAGAGTCACCAGAGACATGAATGTCGTTGCAGAGGTAGGTAAATCTCTCGACAAGGTCGACATTCTCCCCACAGATAGACACACTACTGATGGCTGTGCCCAAGAAGTCATTGAATGCCTGGATCTTGGTCTTTATCCAGGACACTCATACTCCTTGCTCAGTCTCTCGAGGGCCCCGATCAGAGCCTCCGTTGACTCCGCTAAGATCACAGCATCGTCTGCAAAGTCAAGATCAATAAATCTTTCTTCACCAACGGATGCCCCACAGCTGCTGGACCCCACAACCCTGCCCAAAACCTAGTCCATAAAAGCATTGAACAGAGTAGGACCAAGAACACACCCCTGGCGAACCCCAGAATCAACGGGGAAGAATGCACACGTTCTCCCTCCACTCCGCACAGCACTCACAGTACCAGAGTACAGGCCGTCTATGATGTCCAGCAACCTCAGGGGGATCCCGCGAAGTCTCAGGATGTCCCACAGGGTAACTCGATTAACTGAGTTAACCACTTTACAAAAATCGACAAAGACTGCAAAGAACCTTTGCTGATATTCGCGCTTGCGCTCGATGAGAACCCTCAGTTCATCCTTTCCTTTCCAGGTAGGGACCACAAGTCCCGTTTTCCAGTCAGTTGGGATTATGCCCTAATGGAAGCAAGGATTACCTGCAATTCCAGGAGGACAGCCTTACCACCAGCCTGGAGAAGTTCACCCTGGATACCACAGATCCCTGCGGCCTTCCCTACCTACAGCTGATTCACCACCCGTGCAATCTCAGTGAGATTGGGTGGTTCACAGCTAATCGGAGGGTCAGCTTTGAGAACTGTAGACCCAGAGATGTCCAACGTCCTTGCTGGAGGATCAGCTTTAAACTGCTCAAAGGAGCCAACCCAGAGGGTCACAACTGCAGTGTCATCTGTAAGGACCATCCCATCACTCGCCCTGACTGCAAGTCTCTGAGGAACAGATTCAGATGTGTGTAATGCTTCGATTCCACTGTCAGCAGGACGTGGGTCACTACACCACAGATGATGTGTCACCTGCTCACAGATTTGTCTAACAAACACCTCCTTATCTGCCCTCAGAGCCCTCACAGCCATCTTTCTCAGTTCCCGGTACAGACTGGAGTTGCCACAAAGTTGTGTGCTGCAACTCCTCTCAATAATATCCAGGGTCTCCTGCAAGATGAAACACCTCCTTCTGGGAACACTGGCAACACCAACACAACCCTCAGCAACCTTCAGGGTCTTATCACCGAAGGTCTCCCACATCACATTAGAGTAAGCAGTTGCACCCAAGTCTGCAAGTTCTTCACACAAACTGTGTGCAAACTCATCAGAAACAGCTTGATCTTGGAGTCTTGCTAAGTCCAGCCTCATTCTCCTAGTAGGTGGTGGCATACTGGATCTAAGCTGAATCTTCAGAGTTGCAACAACAAATCTGTGTCCAGAATTCACAAACTGGGCACTTCTGTAGACCCTGCAGTTCTGCAGCAGCCTCCAGCGTCTGCCCACGAGGATGTGATCGATCTCCTTTGCTGCACCACCAGTATTGGAGTACCAAGTCCAATGATGCGGCTCAGGGCGTTGGAACCAGGATCCAGTGACCCACAGCCCCTGACCTTTCACAAAGTCAAAGAACATGGAGCCACTCTCACCCTGGTCTGCAGACCCATGGGGACCAACACAATCCTCGTAGCCAGCTCTGTCAGTGCCAGTGTATATTAGTAGAAAAAACTTACAGCTAGAACAATTACAATTGTTCAAGACAGAATTAATGAACTAAAAACAAATACACAGCCAAGTACCCATACAAGTAGGACATACCCATCCAGCAATCTGCCAGTTGTAAGAGGGGTATATGGCACTCTTACAAGGTGGATGGGTAAGAGGGATATATGACGCTCTTGGAGGGTGGAGTAGTAAGAAGGGTATATGGCACTGTTGAAGGGTGGAGGGGTAAGAAGGGTATATGGCACTCTTGAAGGGTGGAGGGGTAAGAGGGGTATATGGCACTCTTGAAGGGTGGAGGGGTAAGAGGGGTATATGGCGCTCTTGGAAGGTGGAGGGGTAAGAGGGGTATATGGCTCTCTTGGAGGGTGAAGGGGTAAGAGGGGTATATGGCGCTCTTGGAGGGTTGGAGGGGGATCGCCATGAGGAGATTTAAAATGAAAAATACACAGTTACACAAATCACTTAGTCATTTCCCAAGGCAGGATTTGGGTGTGGGAAAGGGCATTTTGGCTATGGGATATAAACTAATTGCATCATAGGCCAGGATAAAACTAGAAATCAACTCGCACATTCCATGGGACCAAAGCAATACAAGTGAAAACTGGGGAGGATATATCCATGTTTCCCCTGCCACACTTTTGTTGCATTGCCCACTGCACTGGTAAGCAAAGAATCATGACAGCTATGTCATGACAGTCAGCCAATGCTGAAGACAAGCCTGCAGTGACTGCTGACAAAGAAATGTGCAACAAAACATTTTATGCCATATAAAATTTCCTATGGTGAATATATACACACTACAGCGATTTCAATATTTTGGCAGCAGATGGCATGGTGGGTAATCCAGAGGGTTGCAGGTTCAAGTTCTGGGGGCCTCAAGCTTGGACAATGGTAGAAAATCCAGCAGATACAAATGGACAAAACAAGTGCACTAATTTGAAGGGTTACTGCTGTTTGGAGGACAGGCTAAATGGCATAAGACCCATTAGCATCCTGCAGGGGGGCTTTAGGGCTTGAGAAAGGGAGGGCAAGTTGTCTCCCACCTCCCACGGGCTGTGGGAGCCACCAATGGTCTTTATTCAGCAGAAGATAAGAGCAGTGAGAGCCCCAACTAAGGTCATGCGAGGTCATAAGAAAGGGACAAAAGCTCATGGCATTTTTATCAAAATAAGAGACCTCACATACAGTTCATCTATAGCCAGAGCAATTCAAAATTTAAAGTAATGTTTCAAAATACGCAATGATAAATAGTTAAGTTATTTAGTGTGACCATTTATTCTGTCACATTTCAAACGACAGCCTTTTCACCTGTGCACACATCTGGATTTATTCCCTAAACGGTACATCACCGGGTCCCACTTTCAGCCTGATTCTGCAGTATCTCCTGCGGGTATCTGTACACCTTTCTGTCCAGCAGAACCGGTGACTTTCTGACCCAGCGTGTAACTAGAGACAGTCGCCTTGCTACGCGCCTCCTTTGTTTTCTCTCGGAATCGACACACATTTATTTCTTCGCAGATCTTAACTATTATGTTCCTTTGCGGACAGTCCGGAAACAAAACCTACGTGAAAAGCAACTCCTTCAGAAGAAATCCCAAAACATTTTCCAAACAGGATTAATTTGCACTATAGTGCAGAAACAGATTTAAAATGAGACATGTCGGAACAGGCGGCTAAGATAGAAAAAGCACACAGCAAGCAGCTAAGTCGATAGCCGTAACGTGCTCCTGTGGGACAGCGGTGTGCGCCTGCCCTATAATTAACTTTATTAAAAATATTTTCTCATTGAAAGATCAGCAGACAGCAGTGATGGCCGAGGGCCGAGGGCGGGCTCACCTGGATGAGGCACTTGCTCACATCGCTTGCACACAGCGCTTTGTTGCAGGAGGTGACCAGTGACAATCCCGACAGCAGGCAGAGGAGCGCAGCTAAAGCTGGAAGCAGCACGGAGCCGGGCCTCATTCCGGTGCAATCGGACAACCTGGCTGAAGCGGGACAGCCGTGTAAACCGGGGAAGCACAAAGCATTGGCACACAACAGCCCGGCGTGAAGATGGAGGTCCGCACAAAAGTCCCACTGATATTAGCTAGCTATTATATTGTAGTGCATCGTCTCCAACAGTCAGTCCAAAGAGAGACTTCCGGGCAGTATTTAATTAACAATATACTGTGACATATATTGTGGCATTCCTGGTTTTCCTGGGGAAAGGCTGGAAATCTGTCAGAAACAAGCATACTGACAGGACTGGATGCAGCCCTAAAACCACCAGCAGAAATAAGATTTTTCTTCAATCAGAAGTTAATCATGAAGCATGACATGTGGTTAGCATAGCAATAAAGGCAAATAAATTACTTAACACACATGCTGAAATGCCAAGACCACTAGACTGCACCGCAGAGCCAGAACATTCGCTCGCCTCGGGCATCCCCCCACTTACCAGCCTTATATTTAACCAATTATACCTGCATCATTTCCCTCCCATGCCAGCATCCTTACCTACTACACAGCGTATATCCAAGTATCTTTGGCAATTAAAGAAAATATTTCAAAAGAGCAAATAATAATATCATAGTAATCAGTTTATTCTCCCGAACTTTCACCAAAATAGACTTAAGTCGTTTACTTGTCCTTCATCTTTACCTAACGTGTAACCTCCGTATTCAAACGACAATCTATGTAATCCTTTCAGAGAGTATTTGTTGCGCTGTAATGCAGGTTTCAAAGATCTGTAAAATGGCAGGACAGTGTTTTAATTATAGTCACACACTCTTCTTTTTTGGGCATTTGTGATACAACTCCAGCCAACGGAAATATTTTCGATTCACTTTTATCACGCATACTGCGCTGAGAACACAAAACCTAAATAAATACGTATCATGCTTTAACATTTCCATCCGTTTCCTCAAACAACTATTCTGGGACGGGACGAAGGGAGAACAGATTACCATCACGTTTTTGCAACGTAGAATCAGAGCCAGAGCAGCACTGTTTAAAATTACTTTTTAGGGGAGGCACGGAAAACTTGAACAGAGACGTGTTTAGAAAAACTCTTTGGTTGCACTTACCTTGACAAGGTAGGCTATGGTGTCGATCTTTAAGCAATGGTTACTTTGTATGCTCTTCCCCTGCAGCTTCTCAAAATGAAATCATAGCGATATTCTGTCCCGATGGCGTGAGTTTCTCCTCAACACAAAGCGAGAGTGAGGCAGTGGGGCGCCTTAAAGACATACAGACCATTTTCAGCGGCAGGAGAGCCGGGGAGAGCCAGCGCTCCAGGTGAGAAGCCGTGGATAATGGTAGCAGATACAGGGGGAGGGGATGGATACGTGCTGCCTCATACGACGCTTCAATACCACCGCGCTATGCGCCGGCCTTTCTTAATGTCTCAATCCATGACCCATTCTTTTTTGGTGTGTAAAATGAATGCTTCACTTAGGCACTTGCAGTTGACGTTCACGCACACATTCTTTACACTAAGAAATTGGCAGTTATCATTGTCAGGCATGCAACTGTATAAGCAAGAAACGCGCCCATATGCGGTACGAGTATAAACCGATCGTCTCCTCTTTGATCTCGCTGACACGCTGAAAGTTAAAATAGTTCATCTGGCAGCAGAAACTAACCACAGCATATTTATACTTTTATCGTGCTATTGGCGCCCGGGGCCATGCAACGCCCTGTTAAAGACCCTTTGTGCGGATACTTTTATCAGATTTATGGTAATCAGGCACCGGTAGTGCTCCTTTGGTGTGAAAAAGGCACGGAAAGGATCCAAACATTTCCGACGATTACACTCAAATCCACACCTTTTTTTGTGTACGTGAATCAAGTAAACGGGATGAAACTTTTGAAGTTTAAATGTCTTCTCAAGCGATTGCATTCCAAAACACAACAAGAAAGCACTTTCCGTTTTAGTGCGCCCCTTTTAATGTGTGAAACAATACTTACAGCGAGTACCGAACAGTTTGGCACGACTCATAGGGTGTTGCGTAATTGTACGGAATTCAGTGATGTAGAAGAAGAAGAAGCAGCTTTATTTGTCATTGCATAAAATACATGGTATCAAACACAACGAAATGTAGAGTTGCTACTCTTGGTCAGTGCTTCAAAACTAATATAGTTGAAAATTAACTAGTATGTATAAAAAAAGGCCTAATTCAATAAATAAATCCACGAAATACAACCAGCTAATGCTCCGTGTAATGAAAAATACTGATCGATGGGTAAAACGTAATTAGTCAGTGACGGCAAGTGTGCCTGATTTCTTGGTGACTGAGTGAAGCTTATCTTTAACAATATAACGTTTCCAGTGGATGGTGATTTCGTTAAGGTTTTTCAACCAGCAAGACCGCGGCTCAGCATAGCGCTTGTTTTGCTTAACGGTAATTGCCTAACTGTTGGGTTGTTGAAAACTTCCTTTTGTGAAAACAGACCTGCTTAACTATAGAGTCGTATCTCTGACTTACTCATGTTCTTATAGTGTTAGTAAAAGGTCATTGACGTTAACTATTAGTCCATGGGGACAGAATTCGAACTGCCTTATAGAAACACTTGGACATTAATATAGTGTAAGCCATTATATAATTATTAGTTGTATAGTATAACTTGTGCATATCATATTTCAATTAGTCATTGCTAAAAGTTAAGGTGCGGCCGCGATTAAATTCTTGAATAAGGGACTGTTTCCAAAATAAAAATAAATGTACTTGCTGCCTGTATCCTCTTTACGTGTGTCGCAAGTTTCTCAGAAGCGAGTACGGTTTACATGACTAATCTGGCCGGAATACCCGCTGACAGAAAATTCCTGCAGGTCCAAAGTAATTATCTTAATTAGGATTTTTATTGGAAGCTTATTTCACAAGTTACTTGGTTCTTTATGCCTCACTGAACGTTATCAGAATCAATACTAAGTCTTAAGAGCGAAATGCAAAACTGACAAGTAGATCCGTACCGTGCGTATGTAGGCGTTGCCGTCTCTATATCAGCCGAGGTTTCAAATTCAGAAGTTCAGTGCAATTCATGCGATTGTTATTCTGGTTCGTGTGTATGATGCCATCTGCTGGATCAAGACAAAGCTTATTATAAAACATCCCTTTAAGATGCAAAACACCTTGAGTTTTCGATTATTGTTTAAAACACCGGCAAAGTCATTTGTTATATTCATCATCTTGCGTTACGAGTTAAGGGTGAAATTTCTAACTGCGCATTACGTTTCCGCGTGTCCCTTGGGAAAAGCTGCACACTTTGTTGCTGAAATACAAAATAAACATAATGAAACGATATCGATTTCACGACCAATAAAATTTATTCAATGATATATTACAAATATGTACATATACTGTAACAAGTAAATATTAAAATAGACATTTTTATAACCATTGTTCAAAGGCATTGTGTTGTAAAAATAGGTTCTTTTGTGAACTCACACTGAACTGAGCAGAGAAGCCACATTGAGCTGTTTTCTTTTTAATGTGCGCAACATTAGACAGACGACACGGAAAAAAAGAGGCTTTCGCACAGGACCTTAATGGCCAAGAGCCTCTGACACCTACAAAATCGCACGACAGTCCACGGCAGGGTTTCTCAGAAAGGAAGGCGGAACCTGCAAGGCATGCACTGAATTAAAACCACAAGTCAAAAACGCAGGCAGGCAGGCAGGCGGGCGGGGCCAGTTTAGGGAAGAAACGAAACAACGAAGTTCAAACACATGCTTGAGAATTAGCCAGGAACAAACAGATGACACAGACTATAAAAACCAACTTTGGTCCAAGAAAAGACAAAATAATTTTACAATCAAAATATCAATTTCTTATTTTTTTTTTACAAGTTAAAAATAATTACACGACTATTTACAAATGCACAATCTGTATGTATAAAATAAATTAAAAAATTAACACATTTTGTACATGTATGGACACTAAGATAGAAGCTCCCCCCCCCCCCCCTTTTCTAAACCATAAGCCTTACTCCTGTGGCTTATTGTGGGGTATGGTGGGGTGAGGGGGGCAGGGGGGGCCACAGCCCGTCCCTGATCACTGATCCCCTTCCTCTGGGCTCACAGCTCCTGGTGCTGATTGGCCTCATGCCCTCGTGATAAGTGCCACTCCTGCTGTGTAAGTGCCTTCAACACGTCCCAGCAGGACCCAGCATCGCCCTGCCTCGCCTACTCGGATGGGGACAGTGTGTCACAGGAAGGGCCAGTGTCCCGGGGCTCGCCGTAAGTTCCACAGCGTGAGCTGTCATCTCTGCTCTACATTAAGTGCTGGACGCTCCCGGACGCCACGTCATATGGGGGTGAGGTCGAAGTCGTCATTGACGTCGACGAGTGGGATGTAGAACTCGGGGATCTCAAAGATGCTGGTAGACTTGTAGGTGGCCAGGTCGAGCTCCTGCAGCTTGAGCTGCCACTCCAGCCTCTGCACAGCGTTGAGCGCGGCGGCCTCGTGCTGCTGACGCATCAGGAGGCAGGTCTGCAGGGGTCAGGAGAGCAGGTCAGAGCTAGCCCATTAGCAACAAGCTAACAGCTCTGCAAACCCAGCCTGGCATGAAGCGTTTTGCAATATCTCATATACCGCTCACTTGAAAGGTTAAAACTTTGGCTGCATACAAACATTCCTTCAGCAGTCCACGCAGAGGTAGACATTCATTGAACACTATGCTCAGGCCAAGAATGTGCATTACTACTGAAACGTCAGCGGCAATTTCCTCTCTTTGCTGCTGCTGTCATGAGCAAAATGGAAATCGCCTGCTGCTAAATATCATAGTTAAGGTGTAATTTACTCTGTTCTGGGTAAAAAGCCATGGACAGAGTCCCCAGAGCCACAATCAGCAAGTAAAATTACACTTCTATATAGTGGAAAGGCCATTTACAAACATCCTTCCAGATGGCTCAGACTTGGAATCTATGAAAGCTAATTTTGCTCTACTTGGTCATGGAGATTGAGTGTACTTCTCATCTCCTAAAGACTGTGACTTAATGGGCCTTGGGGCTTTTGTCAGGCTCAGCACCCAGGCCTGCTTTGTGGAGCTTAAGTAACACCTTCCCACCTTCAGTTTATCAAACTTGTCGTCAACATCCTGCAACCATGACATAAACTGCCTGGTGTTGAACCGGTCACGGACAGATGTCTTCCCATCATCTCCCTAACAAGCAAACAAAAATAAAGTAACATTAAATACAGATGACACACTTGGAATGCGAGCACAATTCAGAGTTACTTTGTCTTGCAAAAACAGCCCGATGGAATGACATCCATACTTGGGCATCTTGCGGCATGTTGTAAACTTCGGCATCCAGAAGAACTGTACACGCGCTGAAAGGCAGGGTCTGGTTGGCTAGTGTTCTTGCTGCACGATAGTGGACACGCAGGACTTCTTGCTCATTTGAAACAATTAGCTTTTCCTATGGGAAAATTAAGGAATGACACAAGGACGGTGAGAGAAGACAGGCACAACTGGGCAAAACCACTATTTCGCAGCCGATCTGAAAGGATTAGGGTTTGGTTTCAAGAGGACAGGGTAGCTTCAGTATTTAATAAGGTCTACATGCCCGTTCAATGCTGTGCTGCAGACGTAACTTCATGCGGACAACTTCCTGCTGCTTGAACAACTCCTTCAGCGGTTCAGGCAGTGATGGAGGTGGTGTTATCTGGAATGAGAGAAAATCCATAATTCATATTCAACTACATAAGAGTCCAATGAAGACTGAGAACTCATGCTCATAAGATATCCAAGTGAAATCACAGTATCAAAAAATAACTGCTGAAAGAAGAAAAAACATTCAACTTACAGTTGGAATGCAAAGTTTGCTCAGTGGATTTCCATCTAGGAGGTAGGAGCCGTTGAAGGTCACGTATTCATCGTAATACTGCGGTGCTTGAGGAATAACGCTGCAAAGCACTTTGCGCTTCTCCTCGATCTTCTTACGGATGTGCAAGAACTCATAGTAGGGGTTGGCCCTCTCGGTCTGGTAAGGCTGTATCTCTTCCAGCTTAAGTGAGTCTACTATGGCAGCCAGAGACTGTTGGTTCTTCTCCTTAACCTGCTGTGCAGTGGGGCTAGCTTGCATCGGCTGAGGCACCCGGGGCATCTTCCTTTTCCGTGGGTGATGCACCTGAATTTCATCTTCTTCAGACAGCCGGACCTTGGCCCTAGCCCCTGAGCAGTCGCAGTCTCCATCTCCTGGTAGTGGAGAGGAACCTCCTGAGGAAGTCCCACTGTGCTCCTCCTGGGGATCCCTTTGGACATAGTCTCCACCCAGGGCATCCTTGTGTAACTGCTGCCGTTTCTCTTCAGATGTGCTCTGGTCAGTGATCATCTCCTCCCCAGGCTCAGGCTTCACTTCAGCTAGAGTCTGGCCCTGGTTACTGCCCTCTGGCAGAATTTGTGGCTTCTCTGCCATCTCCACACTGCTGCTGCTCTTTTCCAAGCCCTCAGGAGCATCTGAGGCTTCATCTTTACGTTCAGGACTGGGATGACTGGGCTCTAACACAGGTGATACAGGATTATCACGGACGTCACACGGGGAAAGGTCACATGGCTCAGCAGATCCTATGGCGTGTTTTAGTGTTTTACTGTCTTTTGTGTCTGCATCATCTGTCTCCATGTCTGCTTCCTCGTGAATGTCCTTGGCTTCAGGGATGCCTACTTTGACATTCATCATGGCATCGTCGATCCTGCTGTCTGGCCTCTGTATGCTGCTGCAGACAGCGATGGAGGGCCCAGGGCTTTTAGCCCATTCCTCTCTGCAACTTCCAGTCACCTTGTGTTCCTCTGCTTTGCTTTCTGGA